TAAGCTGTTTCCCCATTAATGGAGACCCTATAAGAACTAAATATCACAACTATTGACTCTCAAACAAACGATTCCTAAAAATTTACTCTATGTGATCTGCTTTAATATAATTTCATAAAGTTCGTTTTGGTTTCTTGTTTTTATTCTACTAGGTAACAACTGAAAATTATCATGAAGTGCAAAGTTTATATATATATATTCAGTGTTGTTAATAGTTAAACTTTTGTGTCGGTATGATATAAAACAAGAGCTTAATTAGTAAATATACCTATCAGATGCATCAAGTTTCCGAGAGTCATTTTCAAATATTTAGAAAAGTATACAAATTATTCTGTAACGTAATTTTCTTTTTTATGGATCATTTTTCCTGTTATATCTATAGAAGAGATTAAAAGAACAAAACGATGCTCAGAAAAGTTTCAGATAACCTGTTTTTTGATATCATAGATTTTTCCTAAAAAATATCATGTTCATATAAACTTGTATTAAAATTAGATACGAATAAAACTTCAAGAGTATCAACATTCTATTTTCAACAAGTGAATGTCATTTTATAAGACTAAGAAAGTTTTAAAAACCTTGATTCTCATGCTTTCAACATTTCAAATGTATCTTTTTGTATAGATAGGGATGTGCAGTGTTGGTATAAATATGGACAGTGAGTCACTAATACAGAGTCCAATAGGACTCTGATTACACTAGAATCTATGTTCGCCGTAACATTGAGACACTAGTTTTATGAAAACATGTCCTTTTTTGTAGCGACATGTTGAAATGCTTCAGTGAACAGTAGTGCTAGTGTGCACTGAATTAGTGACGTCGGTGTTCAGTAAAATGATACTGCATACCCCTTATGCATAAAGCAGAAAAAAAACGATTAACATATGTCAGTGCAGTATTGAAGACTAGTCAATGAATATTTTTTCCAGTTAAATACTAATGCTTTCGCAAATTCAGTAAATGTTGAAATTAAAAACAAAGTCATCAGTTTTACACTTTTCTACTTAGGAAATCTCTTTAGAATATATTACAGCTACAATAGATACGTAAAATTGAAGTACTAAGACATGCTATCCTTTACAATATGCAGCTGTAGTAATCTTTTTCATCAAGAGTTTTATGTCCAGAAAGAAGTCTTGTTGAGCTTTTAAAAATGTTTATTTAAAAAAAAAAAGAAAGATAGAATTTCTTTGGTTTTCTTTTTAACTCACCATATTAGAATTGAGTTACAGATACAAAGTAAAATAAGTGGTATCCATATAATAACAACACAAATAAACACTAAATATAAACGATGTAATGTAATAAAAACTTCTTTTTGTTTTATGTCAACAGTAACATTCTCATTTTCAATAACATTTACATTATGTATGAAATTATTTTCAAAATAAGTTGGTAGTGTTATTAAAAAACATATTATTAATAATGTACATATGACATGACGTGATCGTCGTACTGAACATGTGCGCTTAGCATAAATAGGTTTTGCTACAGCTAGTGTACGTTCAAGAGTGAAACAAACAATTAACCATGTTGCTGTATTCGAACTAAAATCAGCTAAAGGACGTAGAAGAAATAATAACGTATGTGTGAATGCACGTTGAGAAAAAGTTGGATGTGAACCAAAGTTAAGTATAAGTGTAAATA